GAACACTCAGAATCAAACATTAATTATAGTCGTCCTTTAAATTTCTCCCAATAAAGACATATCAAATATTATTAAATTTCTTCATCAGCAGTTACTTTATTTTTTTAATGAATTAATTGATTTTTTAAATAATAAATTTAATTTAACAATGAATAATTTTCCATTTGAATCAACCACAAGATATGGCACGACAATTGATGCAGTTTTTTCCAGAAATGTACATAGTTTACAAAGCAAAATTTATGTTTCTCATCTTAGTTATAAACAACCTATTATATCATATATGAAATATGATAGCAATTAATCTATCGCTGTTGTTTTAAACTGTGTTATTGATGTTATGTGATTATTAATAAATGATTTTTAAAATTCAAATATGATGTTTTTTATTTTTATTTTAATTGCCTACTCATACAATATTAAAAGTTTTACTTCAATCGCGTGTGATCCTTACGCGCACTCTTTTTTTTTATTGGGTAATAAATAAGGTTTATTATCATTGTGTTTATGCATTATCAAAATCATCGATAGCGGTGAATTCATTTGGCATTGGAAATGATGGCATATACAAAGAATATTGGGTTCGATATTTGTTGGAATTCGCAAATAACAAAATTTTTAGTCGCGAATATATAGGAATTGAGTCGCTTTTTTTTGTCCGTGAATTGCCAAATCGAACACGAAGGAAACGCAATTAAGGGGGTGTTCTAGTGTAGAAATTCAAAAAAATCGATTTTTTATGTCATATTTTTAAAGTTTAACTATCTAAGAATATGGGTACGAGAAGGTTTTTGAAAATTTGAATTATTTTCGGAAATATAGGCATTTTACTGACTCGGTCTTCATACTGGTTTGGCTTCACGCAAAACTTTAAATGCGTTTTTCTCAGAACTTACTTTTTCAGTACTCTTGTCACGATTTCTAGAGTTCTACTCGACTAATTTATTTGAAATTTTCAGAGAGTCTTGTTTATAGATCTATCTATAATCTGAACTAGAATCATCCCTAAATTCTTATTTTTACTATTTTTAAAAAATTCGAGAAACTCAAAAAAACAGTAAAAAAAAATTTTTTTTTTTCAAATAGTCGCCAATTTGTGAAAAATTTTTTTACTCATCGCTAGTTGGCCGATTGCAACATCATTATAGATTAATAATCTTTTTATTTTTTGCATTTCCGATGGCTAGGAGGGCTGAAATCATGTCAAGACTGAGGTGCCAATTTTTTGAGACCACCGATTTCATCAGCTGCCAGTTTTTACAATTTTCAACTTTTTTATTTTTTAATTTTTGTTTTGTATTTTAATAATATTAATAAACAAGTCGTAAAAAATGGATAGTAAAAACATTCATTGCTTTCTTTTACGACACTTTAAAAATGACCTAAAATTCATCGCTCTACACTAGAATACAGGGGCGTAACGTGCCTTGGTGGGACCCCATATCAAAATTGGTTTGGGGGCCCCCCTAAAGATTTTTCATAATTTAAAGAAACATAAAAAGATTAATAAATTCATTTAATAAAATTAAAAGAACATTTATTTATCAAATTTTCAAATATACATCGAATATTATTCTTAATATTTTACAAGTAACTAAAATTAAATATTCACTCTCTTGCCTTTTTATCCGCAAACTGATTTATTAAGTCATTTATAGCTGATGATGTTTTTAGTTTTATAATGTTTCTGCCTCTATGGACAATAGAGACAGGTCTGATAGACGTTTCTGTTTTATTGATGTTCTGAGGTAATTTTTGATTAATTTTAATTTTGAAAAACTCCTTTCAGCAGTTGCGGTTGTAACTGGAAGGGTCAAGAGTAAAATGCAAGCTGTTATTACATCCGGAAAACTGGATGCAATATACTATTAATCTACATTTAGTTAAATCGATTCCATATTGATTAAATATATTCAAAATTTCAATTTTAAGTCCTTCGGCTCTGCTGTCAGATACTGCTACAAATCCCAAAAATGATTCACAGATTTTTAATTCTTTAGGCACATTATTACCATCTGCTATCGAGATGTATCGGAAAACCAGAGAAAGTTGGTCAATCTTTGACAAATCTTGCGTTGTATCTAAATTATTATGGAAACGGGGCCTTTTTAATTTCTGAAATAATATTGTTCCTAACTGCGGTTCCTAACAAACTTATAATTTCATTTTGGATCAAAGGGCTTAAATAATTTATTGCTCCCGTTGGTTTTAAAAGAAGTTCTTTCAAAACAGCATCATAATTCGATAGCAAACGCAAAATTGACATAAAACTTCCAGAATCGGAGTCATGGCCTTTTAAAGGTAAATTGCAAGATGCTAATGTTATTATAACATTACTTATACGATGCAATACATCTTACCAAAATGTAATTTTGCAATTAATTTCACTTGACAATTGAGTATCGATAGTATTTCCTTGCAACCAATTATTATGAGAAAGGGGCGCATTAATATGCTGCTGTGACTTTTCATGTTCAAGTAAAGTTTGTGTAAAATTGCTTCTAATAGAAACACCGTTAACCCATGCAGAGGAGTATGATTTACTACGACAATCCGCTAATAACCAACAAAAGTGACAGTATGGTTTGTTTAAAATATTAGAATAACATAACCATGGTTTTGAAATCTTTATGCCTGCTTTATTAGTATATAAATAATGATAAACAGAAAAAGAACGGTTACAAAATAATTCACAATCAACTGAAATATGTGAATAACCCCCGCTGTCTTTCAATATATAAAACCTTCGACTAACTCTGGCAATTATCATATGATTGTATTTTTTCTCACGTCTTTATTTCTGTACCAAATGTTGTACTTCTTGTCCATTTTGGGTCAGTTGTAAAAAATATTACTTATTAAAGAAATCCCTGCTGTTCGTTCGTCGCTTGTCAACATATCATTGTATTTTGGGTACGCATAACTGAACATTGTTTATTGAGGGTTTTTCATTGATTATTGAGGGTTAAACGGGGAAACCCCGTAGGCAAAACATGCCGATAATCGATGTAGGTTGTCCCGACAATAAAAATAAATAGATTTTTTGACTTTGTCGTTTGTGAAATAAATAAAAAGTTTTTCTCAATTCCTGTTAACGCTCGTTGGGGGCCCCCTGGGGCCCCGTATCTTTGATACGGCTGATACGGCGGTAGTTACGCCCCTGCTAGAATACCCCCTTAAGGAACGTCTACTGTATATAATATTTTAATTAATCAATTAATTTATATTTATTATCCTATCGTTATACTCTCCAAATCTATGGAAATAATTTATAATTTATTCTGTATTCTATACCGCGGTACGAATTAATCGATTTGAACTAATTCGAGGTTTTTATAGTTACCATACAACGCGATTGCCTTCCGTAAAATTGCACTGATTAGCCAGTGTATTAGTAAGTTAAATTTAGTTTTTTATATGTCAACTAAGATTGGATTTTAAAGAAACTTTATTAAAGTTTTTTCAGTAGTTGAGTTTTGTTAAAACATCTTAAATATACAAAGAAAGAGAAGCTTTACAATACACAAATCCAGTATATTATATATACTTTTGCATATTCCTTTCATATATTATTTTGCATATTTTATATTTCGTAATAAGCCTACTGTATTTTTATGCATCTACTCGTAGAATATACATGCAAAATTTGTTTAATATTTCATTTATGAGCTTAAGTTTCCTGTGGACACATTGTTTTGTCTTAAGAATTTGTCAGGTAACATATCTGATATCGTCAATACTATTCAGTTGGGATGTTAATGCTGTAAGAAAGTGTCAAATTTCGATTATTGTTTGCTTCTAATAATTGCAATTTGATATGTAAACTGTAGTTTACAATGAACATTTACAATCAATATATTGAGTGAAAATATTCATTGTTTGCACTAACAATGACCGGAAAGAATATTAGCAAATTGTTTCCAATGTAGCTGCTTTTTATTCTAACAGCTGTCAGAACTAGGTGTTCTATAATCTGTTTTGATGTACATTTCAACCCAGAGTTTCTAGGAGGCAACTCAGTGGTTGACCAATTTCTTTTCGATGAGATTATATTAGATTATTTTCAATATAGATTTGAATATATACTGCAAATAACCCTGAAAAGCTGATTTCACTTGATATCATATTTGAGATTTGTAGTGGGTCTAATGTCTTATCATTAAATATATCTAAGATTGATATAATAATGTTTTGAACATTTTAAAATAACAATTGATACCATTTTATTTGGTTTGACTATCACCGTTTTCAACATCTATTGTAAGATATTGAATTGAAGGACACTGAAAAAATTGTTTCCTGATTTTTGGATTTTTTGAACGAATTGTGTGATCGAATCTTGGACAGAATTTGACCGATATTAAGAATTCAACTAAGTAAATTACTAATTGAATTTTACAATTTATAAAATTGAATGCAAGCGAAAAATATGATATGATCATCAACATCTAATTATTGTTATTAAATACTGAAAAAAGACAAACTTCTATTAGATCTCTTCAAACTTTAATCTAACATCATTAGCATCTAATCTTCTAATCTTAAATAATATCCATTATTTAAGACAAGGAAATGTAAAGTTAGTTATTATGCTCAAACAATACACAAAATATCCATCCATCGTGCAAATTATCAGTAACAGTAACAGCCAAAAGTGCGCAATTAATACTTACTTTATTATTATTCTATTATTAAAAAACCTTTTGAAGCGGGTTGGCGGTTCTTCTTATGTACATCATTAATTTTTGCATAACCAATTAATATTACGAGCTTTTATTAATTAGCCGGACTCAATAAAATTTGTCGTACGATCACATCAAGCATTTCTTGAACATTTGATGTGGTTGGAGAAAGTAACTTGATAGCTGAAAATTTATAATAAGTACCAAGACTCAAGAGTATTCTAAGTAATAATATACACAAAGACGTAATATATTTGAAACATCTTATAATTTATGTTTTATTTACTACTTTCAATGTGTTTTTTTATTCCATTCCAGTATCGGAGATCTCAATCAGAAGGTGTTTCATGTATCAGTAGCTTAGGAGCTGAATACGAGCAAAGGAAACGAGAACTCTTACTAGCACGCAACAGGGACTACAAGGAATATTTGGCGAAGGTATAGTTATAATAAATTAGGTGTAAGTGGTATTTTGCTTTAAGACAACTTGTATGAACTTCCCGATATGTGTTTTAATAGCCTAAATCGTTAGAAATTCAGATATAATTATTTAGATATTTTTAACTATTTTGAAAATGAACATTTTGCATTTATTAAAAAATAGTGAATGCAATTTTCAATAATTATATTAATTATAGTGCACAAACGCGTGCTTGCAAGTTCTAAAACGCGGGCCCATTATTACCAATTTTAATTGATTTATATAATTCAACCAATTTTGTAGGCCTCTACTATTTTAGGATTGCTTATATTTATATTTATATTTATATTTATATTTATATTTATATTTATACAAGGCTAGACTACAAGGAATATTTGGCGAAGGTATAGTTATAATAAATTAGGTGTAAGTGGCATTTTGCTTTTAGGCAACTTGTATGAACTTCCCGATAAGTGTTTTAATAGCCTAAATCGTTAGAAATTCAGATATAATTATTTAGATATTTTTAACTATTTTGAAAATAAACATTTTGCTTTTATTAAAAACTAGTGAATGCAATTTTCAATAATTATATTAATTATAGTGCACAAACGCATGCTTGCAAGTCCTAAAACGCGGGCCCATTGTTACCAATTTTAATTGATTTATATAATTCAAACAATTTTCGTAGGCCTCTACTCTTTTAGGATGTTTATAATAAATATCATTAAGAACGCAAAAAATAGTATAGTTTTATATAGCCATATTAAATTTATGTATTAAAAGTAATAATATAATTATAATAAATATAAGCCATCAGCACTATTTCCCGTTGATATCTTTCAAACGATTTTTCAATTTTCAAAATCGGTTTAGGATTTTTTGCGAAAACGTGTACAAAAATTTTTGCACCTTTCTGCTGATAACAAAGAAACGGCTTGGTCGATCATCTCGCATCGAGTTACATAGAAATTGTTTTTAATGTTTGAAGTCGGTTTATCCGTTTTTTCTTCTTTAATTACACACACATACTATTTTAAAGTTGGTCTCAAACGATTTAGAATGACTTGATTTTCTGGCGAAAACAAACCTTTTCTTCAGGAAGTTTACGATTTATTATCTTCCCGTAGGGTAAGTTATTGTAATGGGCCGAAAATCGAAATTGAAAATTTTTACATTTCTCGTTTTGAAGGTTTCTGAACATTTTGGCATACCTCAGAAAAAATGGATGTGTGTGTGTGTATGTATGTATGGATACAAATTTCCAGTCACCTTTTGGGCGCACGGATCAACCGATTTGAATGGTTCAAAAAACATTAGATTCCTATCGATAGGAAAAAGAGCTGATTAGTTTTTGGCAAAGGCAGGTCCAGCCGTTTCGAGGATACGGAGCAAAGTGTGCAGAAAATAGAAATCGACTTTTTGAGAGAACGGTGTATCCGATTTGAATGATCTAAAAAACATTCAATTAGTAATGATTGGGAGAAGTGTTTATTAGTTTTTGGCAAAGGCAGGCCCAGCCATTTCAAAGATACGAAGCTAAATATGTAAAAAATGGCAGTTTTTAAGAGAACTAAGCGAGCGATTTGAATGATTCAAAGAACTTTATGCTAGTCTTAACAAAATAATTGATTTTGAAAAAAAAAATTTTTTTGTTTCAATTTTTTTTTTTTAATTTTTTATATATCGAAAATAATTCAGATTTTATTTTTAATTCTGACTATAGTTCTAATAAACTTTAAACAAATAATTTCAAGTTTGCAATTCAGTTCATATAATTCTTATAAATATTAGATAATGTTACAATATTTATAATAATCTATTTGAAAACATTCAGTAATCCTCGAACATTTTGTTACGGTACGGGAAGTTCCAGCAATTTGCCTTAAGGCACGATGCCACCCACACCACTAGTTTGAAATTTAATTAATGATATGAATAACATAATAAAATCCATTAATTTTTTTGATAACGTTTTTATTCCTGATAAATGATTCACTATGCACTATGCTATAAAATAATAATAATAATTTGCTTTAAATTTCTTATATTTGTAGCAAAAATCTTTGGAGCAAAAATCTAAAATAAAACGAAAATATGACAGTGATTACGCCGACTCTGATGCATATAGTACATCAGGCTTTACCAATGCGACAGCTACTCAGACTCAGACCAGGAATAGATTTGAAACGCAGGAAACGAGTACCCGTCAGAAGAAATGCACAATCGCTGTACAAACAGAGCCATTACGCTCGTTAGTATGTAATGTGATATTTCTATACACTATATATTTTCTTAAATTTAAAAATATATATTTTTTATATGTCAAACATTTTACATTTAACAATTATTTTAAACATAATTTTATACGGAAAAAACATTCTTTCTTAGATGAAAAATATTTTATAACACGGTGGATCTTTATATGACAATTCTATTTTATTTTTTTTTTCTATTTTATATTTCAGTTTTAATTGTACATATTTTAAAAAAAACTACAAAAGCATTTTGTATTTTGGACCAACAATTTTTGTCCGCATTTGTCTATTTTCTAATGCAATACTTATAACTTACATTCGTTTTTGCAATAAATAGAATGGTAAATAAGACTCACTCCTAAAACGTAGTTATAATACTCCATTAATATTCGAACTCTTAGTGAAAAAATTGTATTTTTACTTATTTGTTTCATGAATTTTTATTTAACAAATAATTTAATTTCACTATTTCAGACTTTCAACGAAAGATCTCGCAACAGGCCAGCATATCGTAATAGGAGCCTAGATTTAATATCTTTCGGTGGAGGCGATTCTCATGATAGGGAAAATGATATAGATGGTTCCGAGCAATGTGATGTCAGTTTTGAGGCCAATTCATGATGAACGATCGTTGATCCGGCATCCAAAAGCTTTATCTAAGAGAAAATGATCGAACAACTACGTTTTCTTACTATCCTAGCTTTGGAGACTCTTTTGAAACGCCAGAAGAAAGAAAATTCGTTTAGCTAAGGTAACCAATACAAATCCTAAATCAGGAACGCGTGGCGTTATGCAATCAGGAAAATTGCTGAAACTTTCTAAATCAAAGTTTTGAATCCAAGAATTTACTTTAAACAAAATATAAGTTTAGGTTATATATAAAATTTTATTTTTTTATTTTTAAAATTCTTTAACAGCGATCAGAACTTATGAGTTCTATGAGCTGTTGTGATCAATTATCTTACAATTATTATAGATGGCAACTCAAACAGTTGTCCCATCTCTATGTGCTGAATTATTACAATCGTTGTAATAGTGATGACTTTTTTTTTTTTACTTCCAAGTGGCATGTTGCCACTACAGCTATGCCCACGAAAGGCCATTTTCACTTGAAATCATATTTGAAATCTATGATTTCAAGTGAAAATTTGGTATCAAGCTGCTTTGATACCGAACCGACCGAGGTTGGATTCGAACCCGGGACTAGGATTTACTAGCCCACGTTCTTACCACGGGACCACGGTCGGCCATATATAAAATAGTTATAAGTTCTATAATTTGACAAAGTACTGGAATCTAATAATATTTTTAATAATGTAAGGAAGAAGCTAGAAAACGTGAAATTTACCAGATGGAATTGAGTGAACAAATAAGAGAAAAACGCCTGGAAATGGAAGCCAAGCAGCGCAAAGAAATGGAGGAAGAAGAAGCGTTGGCTAGAAGGCTTGAAGCACAAATTCAGAACATGCAGATGGAGCGTGATCTGGAACTTTTGTCACAAGAAAACAGAAAGGAAAAGGTATGAAAATATACATATATGTGAGTTAATGTATGAAAGTCAACAATAGTTATAGTAAAAGAATGACAACATTTTAACTTCCCAAAGGAATTGTTTGTTTTCGGGAGAAAATCCGATTTGTTAATTTTATATATTCCCGGCGATTTAAGTCATTCTGAATCCAATGAGACCAAATTTGGAAAATGTGTATGTGCGAGAGAGCCGATTTTTACGGCTGAACCGGTTTAAAAAAATTAAAAGCCATTCGATGAAACTTGATAAGCACTCATGTTGCTTAATATTTAACTTCGCGTAGAGTAAGTTATAGTAATCGCAAAAAAATCGAAAATGAGAATTTTTGCATATCTTTACGTTTCAAAGATTTCTGAACATTTTTGCATACCTTATATTAGAAAAAATTGATGTATGTGTGTGTATATGTGTGTGCGGATACAAATTTTCGTCGACGACTTCGGGAACACTGATCAACCGATTTGAATAATTCAAAAAACATTCGATTCGTTTTGAGTGATTCAAAAAACATTTTATTTGTATTTACGAAATGAAAGATTTTATCAATTTTTGTGTAGGCAGGTCTAGGGGTTCTAAAATAATCATTATAGACATATGCACATCAAATTATCAACTATTCTATACATATTTCAATAATAAGAACCAATTTTATTTCAATTTTTTTGGGTTTCGTACCAAGATTTTTAATTTTTAAAGTTCACTTATACGGTTCAAACAAATTTCAAAATCTTCAGAAAAAAAAAAAAATTCAAAATTTTTAAAAATATACAAAGTTTTGTACTTAAAATATAAATTTTAAATTTACAATTCATTTTAAAACTGTATATATTTCATATGCGTTATTCTACATGTAAGAAATATATCCTCAGATTCGGGATTTCTCCTTAATGTAAACATTTTCAAGTGTTTTGAATCACAGCATATTATATGAACGAAGAAATATATAGTAATTATAATTATCTTTTTGAAAATATTAAAACAATTGTTAATAATCATTGGTTTATTGTTTTTTTTTTGCTCGAATATTTAATTATGGTACGGGAAGTTTCAGCAATATCACGAGTTTATTATTTATTCGTTCGGCCAAGCCGTTTTTTTTGTAATTGTTGCAAAAAAATTCTACGTTTTTAATGGTACTTGGAATGGCGATAGACTATAGACTACCTAGTCTTAATGAACATAGTAAAATATTATAGTCCATACATACAGTTTCTTTATAAAAATTGATTAATATTTAGATTATGCGGCCGTGCTTTTAGAAAAAACGGCATATATGTATTCGGCATATATTTAGTTCGTTATTCAATAAGTTGTAATTGTGCAAAATTTAATAGTTTACAATATACAACTATATTGTATATTAAAAATTAAAAATGTAATCTTTTGCATGCTTGATGAAATATTTTTTAAGGTGTAAATTTATTTTTTTTACAGATGAGAAAGAATTCTATAAGGTTCAACGAAAGAAAGAAACAGCTCCAACTAGAAGTTGAACAAGAAAAAGAAAGATTACGTCAAGCGCGAAAATCATGTCCCCATAACACACAACAACCGACAACATCTTTTGTTCCAACGAGGTCTAAATCCCCTCCTATACCGGCTTTGAAGAACAAACTTTTACCATTTTCTACAAATATTGATTCTGATTCTGTCTTTGCAAATTCACTAACGAAAGATACAGAATCTCTAGCAGAACAAATTCATAAACTCAGTATCCCAAAGTCAAAAGAAATTACATATAAACATTTTGAAACTAACAGTACAATTAGTGAAGATTATGCGAGCAAAGTTGCTTCATGGGATATTTCAAATGGTTATCGAGATGACAGGAATGACAATAATAAGAGATCAGTTCTGAAGACAGTGGTAGCCGCAGTAGTTCAGACAGTGAATTTACAGGAAACAAGAAGCAGAGCTATTCTGAGGTAAATTATCTTTCATACAAATATATCATCTTTCCTCTTGACATATTTGGAAAATGCATCTACTTGCTATCTTACTAACTCAATATAATTAAAAACAAATATCATACTCAAAATAACATGTATTATATCAAGAATTTTTTAACATAAAATTATATAAAATATTTCAATTCATAATTATTTTTATATATAATATTTTTGATAACTATGCATACACATGTACAAAATAACTTTATTCAGTACAAAGGCATTTCATACACAAATCACAGCACTGACTTTAATTTAATACATAATAATGCAGCAATATTATTATTTTCCAGAGTTCTGTTAATGAAGACGATACTCACGATGATGAAAATTGTTTAACTAAAATACTTTCTGATGAAAAACTAGCTACAAATAGTATTTTAACACAGCTTGGCGCAATTAGGCGCCAGTTGCAAATGACTCAAATAGAATTGGATGAACGGCAATCGAAGTCATAAGTGAATTTGTCATTTTGAACGCTTTTATTACATATATATAAATATTTTCAGATCTATATAAGATTTTAAAAATCTTCAATTGACTAAAAAATTTAGTATCAAAAATGTATACGCAAAATCATGTTAAACAAAATATTAAAATCGTAAGAACGCCTCTAAACGTGGACCATGCCTTCCTAAAGGATCCATTGGAAACATTAAAAAATTTTGTACCCATGTAAACATCAACAGTCTGTGAAGAAAATAGGTTTGCATAAAATGTGAATAAACAGAAAACAATATTATTTTTACCTTTCTTCAATTGTTTTTGTCCAAGCAGGATTCTCATATAATAAGTCTCGATAATTATCATTTGAAACTATAACACCTTCAAATTCAGCGGCTGTTTGTATGATGTACCTATTTTCATAGTTTTATTCAAATTAGAACAAGTTTTAATTAAGTAAATAAAAACATTTCATAACTTTAATTTTAACATGTCGATTATGTTCAAATGGTACTCTATAACAAAAATTTTTAAGTTTAATAAAATAAAGAATTTTTTATTTCTGTCTTATCAATGATCAAGCAATGAATTCTTCTTCGAATGGAATATTCTTATAGATCAATTCTTTCAGAAAGTATAAAGGACTGTAATTTGAAGTGTATAAAGCCGTATTGTTTTACTTAATAAGCATTCTCTAATTGTATAACTTTATAATTAATTTATTTCTTAAATGATACTATTTTAATTAATAATAAACAAACCTGTCATCATAACTAGCTACAGTTTTTCCCCTAATTTTTCTGGAAGGAGTGCAAATAACTTTGCCTTGATTTTCCAATTCTTGCAATCTTTTGGGATTCGATGAAAAATTTGATGCAAGCCTACATAATGAAATATAGTTCAATCTCAAAGTTGATATTGTTAAGCATACAATGAATTACCTGAAATGGGGTATGAAAACTTTCACCATGTGTCCTCGCTTTTCAAAATAATCTATACATATCTCTATTCCTTCCACAGAAAAATCTCTGGTTCCTATTGCTATTCCATGTCTAAAAAAGAATTATTTTCACAAAAACACCTTGAAATTCTAATTTTCATTATATATATATATATATATATATTTTGGCATATATTGATTAGTGTGAAAGTTTATACAACGTGCATTATGCCCTAGCATAGCAAAATACTCAATTAAGCTAACATGTACCGTTATTGCTATAATCAGTGAAATCAATTTTACCAGTTAAAAGGGAGGATATATTGATTTTCATTTTCTAACTACAGAGTAAAGAGTTGTAATGACACTCAATGCTACTTATACTTTTAGAAATAAGCAAAAAATGTCTCACACTGAGTCAAATGGCCAGCCAATAATATTCACAAAAGCAGAAAACAGTACATACTGCATAGCTACATTGCTTCCATCTACAATTATTGGCCTCAAACCAGTCTTATGTTTGAATACAACAGGATTATAAACATTATACCCTATATTGCTGCTAGAATCTCCTAAAGAAGGGATACTTTCTACAGAATTAATATTTGGTCTTTGAACTTGCGTACTTTCAATACTGCAAGTATTTTGTGTCTGAGGTTGAACAGATTTCTTCCTCAGACTTTCTTGAAATATTTTATTTTTTGCTCTTCTTGGCAAACTCTTTCTTGTTTTTATAATATTGGGTTTTATTTTATCACATGGTGAGTCTTGAATTACTATTACATCTTCAAGTTTGGGTTTTTTTATTATGTGTGCCTGATTCTGCATCAGAATTATCACATAAATCAATAAATGAGGGAATTCGCTTCTTTCTCTTTTTTGAATCAGTATTTGGCAATACGATATTGTCTATTGAATCATCAATAACTATGAGACTATCTTTTCTATTGGCATTGTTTTTATTGGGTGTAGAACCAAATATGTTGGGATGTTTTGGAGCCCCATTGGCTGTCTGCAAAATAATTTTTGTATCATAATATACTCAACAACAAGTTTAAAATACACACAGAGATAAAGAACAAGTTTTAAAAAATATATTACACTTCTATTTTGTAATTTTTTTGGTCACCATTGGATTGAATATGCTTATACAAAATTAAGAACATAGTTTTATTATACAATATATGCTTGCCTTTTTGGTAATATAGTTGATAAATTGCAATTTTCTAAACTTTTGGTCACTTGACATTGTTTATTAGTAACCTTGGTACTTTCTACAATTACTATATCACTTGAATCAGAAAGGATTTCGTCCTCTGAATCTACAACCTCAAGCAAAACATCATCACTATCATTAATCTTATGTGGCACTACGTTTTCTTTTTTAGATTTCTGGTTATTTTCCATTTTTGTTACACTTTTAACGGACCATGCCTTTGGTTTATTTCATAAACTTTTGTATTATATTATAAAAGTTTATGGCTTATTACCTATTATCTTTGTATTTCAACAATACAATTATTAATTTAGACACAAAATTATTTCAAATACAATGCAATTAAAATAAAAACAAAATTCTATGCAAATATAATTTGAAAACCATTTGCTAAGCAAACAATTGCTACACTAAATGTCATTCTATTGTCTAACACAGTCCAATAGAGAGCGGGAGTGTGGTGAGTGTCAGAACGAGACAAAAACGGACAAAAGTTTTGTTGGTTTGGTATTGCGTGTCTAGGCTTCCATCTCATGACATAAATCATGGCGCGATTGTCAACATTCAAAACCTCTTGTCCTGGATTTTGTGTAATGTTAATAATGTTAATAAATTATTATATTGTTTAGGGTTAATAACTTACTTTGAATTATTAACTTCCCGAAGGAGGAGTTTATGTTTTCATCAAAAAATCCGATTTGTTAATTTTATGTTTTCTCGACGTTTCAAGCGATTCTGAATCGAATGAGACCAAATTTGGAAAAAGTATGTGCCCAAAAATGGCTGGACCGATTTCAAAAATTTAAAAACCATTTCGATGTATCTCGATGAGGACTAGCGTTTATCAATTTTGCGCGACGATCAGCCAAGCCATTTCTTTGTAAATAGCAAAAAGTGAAAAAAATTTCGTCCACGTTTTAGCCCGCAGTTCTGAATCGATCTTGAAAATTCAAAAACCGTTCGAAAGATATTAGTTGGGAATGATATTGATTAGTTTTAGGTGAAAATCTACCGAGCCGATTTCTTGAAATTCGTTGTTGAGAAAAAAATTTGACCCGATTTTTATGAAACTTTTTTTAATGATATATATCATGGTCTTATAGAACTTACTGAAATATTACGGCCTTACGACTAGTAGTTTAATTTTAAACGTTCATCTAAGTTTAAGAAAATGAGTAGTTTTTTTTGGACGATTTTACTTGGTATAACGATAGAGTACTTGGTTTTAATGAACATATCAAGCTATTGAAGTCCTATGGAAACTGGTTCAATTATAATAGTTGTTGATTTCTGAAAATTTACTTTTAGAAAATACTCCGTGCCAAAGTGTTCGTTCGATTTCAATTATGTGTAATAAATCCACTGGAATACTTTTAATCACTCATAAATTAATTTATTATTTACATATTATTACACATATCGGGAAGTTCATGTAACTGGCCTCAAGGCAAAATACCAAACCAACTAGTTTAAAAATAGTTAGTGCTCGTGAGTGGCGTTAAACGTACTTTTTTTTTTAATTTTTTTTAATATTAATATATATATATATATATAATTATTTCATATACTCAGTCAGGCAGAGTTGCCTGGTATGAGAGATTATGAAAACAGTTTTCATATAATATATAATTTCATTTGACTATAATATCTATTTCATTAATATAATATTATATATAACTAAAAATTTTCAAAGTAAACTTAAAACGGTGATTCTGAGCAAAAAAAGTATAGTAATCTCTACCCTGATTTTAGGTTTAAATTGATCTGGAGAATTATAGCAAATAACTTCTTTACATGCGTGAAAAATATTATATAAAATATTGTAATTGAAACCATAGATAAATAAGAATAATGATTGTAACCTTGTCAATTAACTATTGACTGTATCATTAGTTTTTAATGTTAATTTTATCTTACCGTTAACGTTAATTACCATCTTATAGATCATTATATACTGTTCGTTTTATTTATATTTTGTTCGTTTATTCATATCCAACATTGTTCCAATTAGAATCCGACTAACGGAATATTCTCGTGTGCTTGCACCCTTAAATTCAGCGAACAATTAAATTTTCTGTGAAGTGGCTACGCTGTTGCTTCATAACCTCTTAAATCCGTTGCTCATAATTAATCAGTTGATAATTATAATTTTCTTGATTACTAAATTTATATTTTTAGAATTGCCAAATTAAGTATCAGCCAAGTTAGATTAAGCACAAATATTTTTTTTATAAATGTTCAAACATGGTTCCAGATAATTCAATTGTTAAACGCTTAATTATTAATTATGAAGACAAATCAAGAAGGTTCAATCAAACTAAGAAAGATTATTCCCGACAATTTTGTCATTTATATACCGCTCGTCTCAAGTTAATGCAGGAAAATGTCTTGAAAGAAGTTTATAAAAGATTTGGTAAGAGTTAGCGGTGTTTGTTACTATAGTTCAATTCTATTCTTATCTTTTTTTTAAATAAATAAGGTAACAAGTATCCTGTCAAGAAGCTGAGTGAAATACATGATGTAGGAGAAAATAAATGTATTTTAGTTGGAACACTATTTAAGCACCAGGAGTTGAAACCAAGTATCTTAAAAGAAGTTTCGGAAGAAAACAAACTAATTCCTTTGCCAACCAGATTTAATTTTGTTGATGATGACGATATATTGATCTTAGAAGATGAGTTAAATAGAATTAGATTAATTGGTGATATAGATATACATCAAATTGCAACAGGTGTCGTTTGTGCAGTCTTAGGTAAATTTATTCAAGTCCAAAATGAAGTATTAACATTTTAATAATACTTAAATTTAAAACTTTACGTTTTATAATTACACACATTTTCATTAACTACATAAGAGTGTTAAATACTAAAAGAAATAGTTATATAGATATGACATTTTTACACTTGATTATGAAATTTGTTATTCATTTCAGGTTGTGAATGTGCTGATGGAAAGTTTTTAATAGATACCATTATATTTTCTCATTGTGAAAGCATTCGATCAATGATCTTGCCAAAAAAAAGTACAAATCCTCAGATTTTATTGCTATCTGGATTATCTTTAAGTCCTTAACAGATAACACTTTGTCTCTTCATATATTTAATGATTGGTTGTCTGGGCTTATCGGTAATGGTGAAGGAACGCCTCTGGTTAGAATTATAATTGCTGGTAAGATTTTTCAGATTTCTTAAGTATGCTATATATTGCTTTATTAATATACTTAATATTATATGGTTATCAAGTTATTTTTTTTAATTCAGGTAATTCAATCAAAGGCCAGAATGACGTAAAACAGAAAAATGCTGAATATAAGCAAAAAAATATTGAAAATATTGGCAATGATATTAAAATTATACAAAATCTTGATGATTTTTTGATGGTATGTGTATCTCCATTTTTGAATAATACTATTGCAAATGCTTTGCATATGATTAATTTGTTTTCGATTTAGGGCATTTGTTCTACTGTATCAGTTGATATTATGCCTGGGGAATTTGATCCTAGTAATCATATGCTTCCTCAGCAACCACTGCATCATTGTTTATTTCCAAAAGCTCATGTGACAGGCTCACTCAGTGCTGTGACAAATCCTTACCACTGCAATATTGATGGTGAGTATATAAAGGCAGAATATAAAAATGCATTGTGACCATTTATACTTGTTTATATATGATTGTGACATGCATTGGAACCCAAACCTACCAGTTTATTTCATTTTGTAACCACACTCATAACTTGAAGGGATTGCATTAAATCGTTGTGGTTTCTATTTTTTTTTTTAATAATACAAATAAACCAATTAATTTAAATATTGTTATTTTCTATCCATTTGTTCGGATGTATTTTCTTTTTATTATATTGGCCATTTTCATGGTATTGAGCTTTTACACGTAATGGTTGCTACCCCTGGTAGAGGGAGTAGCGGAGATTTTAATAGGACTGATTGTACACTTCTAAAAGTAAAGTCCGCTTAACAACGTGTTTAATAAGTAATAAATAAATATATCTTCTTTCATTATAACTTAGTAACAAATCAGTGATTGTTATAAGAACTGCAACAAACACATACAAATACAAATCGAATCAGTGTTTAATACAGTCCACATACAAGGGTTAAATTATAACTCAACAGCCTGAATTAACAAAGGAGAGTTTACTAAATTTCATAAATACGTAACGTAAATACACCATTCATGATATTGCTGAAATGCTTTCGACATGTTTCATTGAACAACACCCGTGCTCAAATTGTTACAACTTTTATGGTGCTGCTTATAGATTATGATAAGGCCCTCAGCTAAAGTTATACATTTTATCAACTACTTCTATTTAAACACAGTACATATCTATAATGTGCCATGCTCTAACTTCCTCATATATTTCAATAATTTCATGCCTTAATTCAAGCAAGCATGGCACTTTATTTTGGACTTGTAGTTATAAAGCTAAATATTTTCTGAATGCAGAGAAAGCAAAAATCGCGAATTCAACGTATATGCTATTTATGTACTATCACTATCAATATATAGTTAAAATTTCAAATGTTAAAATAATTCTCAATATATTTGCATGGATGAATCGGTACTACACAATTAATATTAATATTCATATAAAATTGAAATGACTAACTATAAAACAGTTTACTATCATAAAACAAATATATTTTTATGCAAGGAAAATCATATATTAGTGATTTTCATTTTGCAATTAATATTCGTATACAACTCTTACACGCCGCTCTTTTGGCGGCTCGTATCTCGAAACGCTCGCATGTCGAGTCACTCATTAGTCGTGGTACCAATTTAATTAATGAGAAGCAGAAGCATAGTCTCTTGGTGAGGTCCCATATCAAAGGGATGAATGCTTTTAGGGTCTCTTTGGAACAGTGAAGATTTCTCTCAAATAAAAAATCCATAAAATGAAAAGAAATACTTATTTATCATAATTAACTTTTTAATATAGCATCAAGTTTTGATAATGAAAATTTTCCATAAACAAAATTTATTAATTATGTATAATTTTAAACTGTAGGCTGCAATATTTTGGGTTCATCTGGACAACCAATTCAAAGCCTACTAGCTTATACCAAGATTGAATCTGCGATTGAAGCACTTAAAAATACTGTAAAATGGCGTCATATGGCACCTACGGCGCCTGATACTTTGCCTTGTTATCCATTCATAGAGAAAGA